ACTTTAAAACCTTTCAATGCTCTCCTTCCGCTTTTTCTATATACACACCTAAATATTTGACATAATCGCTTAACTTCGTAGACATAATCATGAAGAGTATTTTGCCATTAGCGGGGGATATTGATGTTTTGTCTTCTTTGGCATTTTAAGGACAAAGTTCTGAAAAAAAACTCACAGTGTGGGTATGATGTTTTGATTATGATCAGCGTTTCATTGAGTTAGTTGCGTAATTCATCCGGTCCGCTTTGGGCCAAAGCGGACTATACTCATTATTGTCATACAATGTTGTCTCCTTTACCCTCAACTTTGATCTGTGTGAATTACCGTTGTCATACAATATTGTCATCCTTGGCCCCTGTACTTGGTGCTCGCGTAAATTACCGCGTTGTTGTCATACAGTGTTGTCTCCTTGCCCAGTACTTTGATCTGTGTGCATGCGTTGCATACTCCCTTTGCCCAGTGCGTTGTCTATACAGTGTTGTCTCGTCACCTTTGCCAGATACTTGGATCTGTGTGAGTACGTTGTCATAGAGTGTTGTCTCCCTTTGCCCAGTACTTGGATCTGTGTGAAGATCTACCGTTGTCATACAGTGTTGTCTCCCCTTGCCCAGTACTTGGATCTGTGTGAGTACATTGTCATACAGTGTTGTCTCCCCTTACCCAGTACTTGGATCTGTGTGAGTACCACGTTGTCATACAGTGTTGTCTCCCTTGCCCAGTACTTGGATCTGTGTGCATACATGTTGTTGTCATACAGTGTTGTCTCCCTGCTTGTGCTTGGATCTGTGTGAGTACACATTTGTCATACAGTGTTGTCTCCCTTGCCCAGTACTTGGATCTGTGTAACGTACTGCGTTGTCATACAGTGTTGTCTCCCCCAATTGCCCAGTACTTGGATCTGTGTGAGTACACATTGTCAGCTTGGACAGTGTTGTCTCCCTTTGCTGATACAATTACTTTGATCTGTGTGAATACTTGGATCTGTCGGCTGATTACGTTGTCATACAGTGTTGTCTCCCCTTGCTTGGAGTACTTGGATCTGTGTGTGTGAGTACACATTGTCATACAGTGTTGTCATACCTTGCCCCCTGCGTTGTCAGTACTTTGATCTGTGTGAGAGTACACATTGTCATACAGTGTTGTCTCCCTTGCCCTTGGATACTTGGATCTGTGTGCCATACTATTGTGCACGTTGTCTTACGTTGTTGTCTCCCTTGCCCAGTACTTGGATCTGTGTGGTACACATTGTCATACAGTGTTGTCTCCCTTGCTCAGTACTTGGATCTGTGTGAGTACCACGTTGTTGTCATACATTGTTGTCTCCCCTTACAGTACTTGGATCTGTGTGAAATTACATTTTATCTCCCCTTACCGAGTTTGTCATACAGTGTTGTCTCCCCTTGCTCAGTACTTGGATCTGTGTGAGTACACGTTGTTGTCATACAGTGTTGTCTCCCCTTACCCAGTACTTAGATCTGTGTAAGTAGCCGTTGTTGTCATACATTGTTGTCTCCCCTTACCCAGTACTTGGATCTGTGTGAGTACATGTTGTCATACAGTGTTGTCTCCCCTTGCTTAGTACTTCGATCTGTGTGAGTACACGATGTTGTCATGCAGTGTTGTCTCCCTTTGCCCTCAAGATCTGTGTGAGTACACAGTGGCATACAGTGTTGTCTCCCCTTGCCCAATACTTGGATCTGTGTGAGTACACGTTGTTGTCATGCAGTGTTGTCTCCCTTTGCCCTCAAGATCTGTGTGAGTACACATTGTCATACAGTGTTGTCTCCCTTTCCGAGTACTTGAAGGATCTGGTAATGCAACCGCGTTATCCCATGTGTCTCCGTTGCCCAATACTTGGATCTGTGTGAGTACGTTATTTGTCATGCAGGTATTTGTCTCCTTTGCCCTCAAGATCTGTGTGAGTACACAGTGGCATAAAGTGTTGTCTCCCCTTGCCCAAACTTTTTAGATGTTTCCAGAAAACATTTTACAAACATTTATGCAGGAAAAGAGGACTATGTAATGCAGTAGAACATATGTTTGAGGTGTTGCACTATGTTGAGTGGCAAGAATGGTTTAAAAAACAAGGAGATACAAGAAACGGGTTTTATTACCAAATTAGAGATGGTATGCAGCTCTGATGATGTGATTCTTTGAAAGGTCACATTATAGACAGGTATATAAATCCAGCATTGATTTTGAATTTTTATAGAGGTCACCTTATTCATAAGGGTCACTTCAAACACTGACGGTAAATGAAGGTGATATTGCGGCGTTGTTAGAAGATAAATGTTGTTAATGAGCGTGTTACTATTCTCAGGTCCTCACTGGCGACTTGAAGGATGAATACGGAGGAGAGATCAGATGGACCGGCGTCGACCTCATCTGGCCAGCCAGACAGTCAACATCCACCTCTGAAGGCTTCCAATAGGCTCATGGTTGGCGGTGTTTCTCAGACCAGGAGTATCATCTGACATGGGTTGGGAGGGTTTGTGCACAGAATGAAAGCTTATGTTCAGGGAGTACATTGACTTCACAGAGGAATAGTAGATACCAGAGTTTTCTTTTAGAGATGGGTG